TAAGGACATGATGTACAAAAAAGTTCCTTATCCAACTGGAGGAATAAACACAGAAGGCCAATTATCTTGCAATCAGAAAAGTGAGGGGCAGGAAGGCTGCCCAGAGGAAGTGACACTGGGGGTGGGTCTTGTAGGTGAGGAGGGTTTTTTTCCCAGAAGGAAGAAGGAAGACAGAACAGCACAGGTTGGGGAAAGAATGTACAACACACTCAGATCTGGCATCAGTGATCCTTTCAGAGAACTGCAGGGCAGATACTAAAGACCTTATCTGCTGTTTGAAGGAAATTAAATGGGCTTTCTCCCAGAGCCTGTAGGGAACAGGGCAACATCCTAAATTTTTGAAGTGTCTGGTCACGAGTAGATCTATGCTTCCGAAAGCCAACCAAGGAGGGATGGCAAGGCTGGACTGGACAGGCCAGCAGCTCAGGGGCCAGAGCCTTAGTGAAGGCAGAAGTGGGCAACTCCCCTCAAGCAGTGGCTGCGAAGGGGCAGGACTGGAGGCTCTGCAGGTATCTCAGAAGGCCGCCGGAGCAGGCTGTTGATGAGAGAGGGAAGCAGAGGCTGCCAGAGGGTAGGGACGCCCTTAGCTGAGGAAGAGGAGCATCTGGAGGGATCCAGCAAGTGGAACTGACACAACTGCCTGTTTGCCACATGCAGGGCTGTCTTGCTGTCTCCTCAGCTCCCACACCGACCTCATGGTGCTGCCATAAGCAGAATCAGCTCAGGATAACGAGGAATAAAACTGAGGTCAAAATAGCCACAGACGCTCTCTTGGCCACCCAGGACCATCCCTCCCCTGCAAGTCTGTGCCCCAGAGGGTCCCACGCCAAATCCACCCTTCAGTGCATGCAGGGGACTGCAGCCACACCACACGTAACTTTAGTCCTCACTCGCCCTCCGGCCCAAAGCCTGGGGCATCTTCCTTGTGCTTCCCTTGTGAGAGAACTCTGTCCTCTTTGCCTCCCCATCACTCATGGCACCCCGCTTCCAAAGTACTCCTCTCCTCAGACTCCTCCTCCACTCCCATTCACACAAGGGGTCTTGTTAGAAATGGCAAGACCGGGGCAAATGGCAAGGAATCAGAAGTGGGTGCAACCTGCACACCAAGGCTGGCTCAGCCACGGGAGACTTGCCTGACCTCAGCCTCAGGGGAAAGAGCTGCATGTTAACCTTTGCATAGCTTGGAGGATTATTGTTGAGAATGAGAGAGAGAGAGAGAGAGAGAGAAACTTCAAACAACACCAGCAGACAGCAGATAGGGGTGATTAACCAGCACAGCTGTCCACTGGACAGTGAGTTCTTGAGGACAGGGACAGATGGGTTGGATCTCGGGTGCCTACTCATTCCTGGTGCGGAGTGAACATTTGACAGCAGAGGTTGAATCACCAACCAAGACCATGAGCACCACGACCCTCAGCACACACAGACGCAGGGCTGCTCCCCGCTACCTCCCCCAGTGCCCCACACATGCAAGCGAATCCACAATACCCCACTTTGGGAAGCCTTACTTTCCTTGTGGGTTATTCCAAAGACAGCCAGTTCCTGTAGGAGAACCAAGCGAGTCACGCTGCCTGGACGCCTCTATTGGGCGCGTTGGACCAAGTCTGGGTCCGTCCCCTTCTCCCAGGAAGTTGCTGAGAGCTGAGCCTCTGCCTGCCCCTCCTTGTCGCCTACCCAAGGAGCCCCAGCTGGGCTGCTGCTGCCCTGGCAGGCTTTGTGCCTCGTGCATGGTGTGCTTTTTGCTTTTGTTTTTGCCCACCAGGGCTCTGCTGCCTCTCCTTCTGCTTCAATGAGCAGAGCTGGCATTGTGGCTGCAGAGAAGAGGAGCGCGGAGTGGCGCGAAAAGCAAGTAAAAGCAGCCTGGCGAGCGGCCCGCTCCGGACACCTTTCACCCTCGCCGAGGCGGGAGCAAGCGGCCCCCCAGTGCACACGGCGGGAGTGGCCGGGCGGGGTCGGCACCAGGCCCCGCTCAAAGGTGGGTCAGCGGAGCCCGGGACACGCAAAAACTTTCATTGTCTTTTTTTAAGCAAATGAGCGAGGGGTGAGGTGGGACGAGGAGGCAGTGGGGAGCCCTCATGGTGCCACCGGCTGCGGGGACGAGGACGCGGGCTGGCGCAGCGGTTGGGGCAGCTCGGCCTCGAGTCGCAGCTGTCTTTAGAAACGTCTTCTGCGGGTGGGGGAGCAGAGGGCGGAGGGGGCCGGGAAAGGCTGGCTGCGTCCTCGAGGCTGGGCGCCGCGCCGCGCACACGTTCCCAGCGTCTGCTCTCTGGGGTGGGGCCGGGGATGCGGCCGGGGCCTCGCGCACGCTGGCTCTGCCCCCCACTCGAGGGGGGGCCCCGCGCGCTGCAGGTGCGCGCTGCCGTCGGTCCGGAGGGAGGGAGGGTTCTGAGAGCTGCTGGGTGGGGTTGGAGCTAGCTGTGAACTCGAGCAGGGAAGGTCGGGAAGGGTCTCGGCGCCCTTCTGCCTTCCGGCAAGACGCAGGGCCCGGCCCCGCCCCACGCCGCACGCGGGGCGCCACTCGTGAAGGTGCCGCAGCCCCACAGACGCGCGGCTGTTACTAGCGACCAGGAGTTTGTCCCTGGGCCTTTCTCCCGCCGCCGGGAAGGGCCGAGCGCACGTGCCCCCCCCTCGGGGCACCTCTCCGGGAGGGAACGGGGCTGCCCACGCCGATGCCCTCCGTGGCCACAGGTGCCCGGGGAGCGAGACGCGCGAAGGCACAGCCGGAGTCTCGGGACGGAAGGCCCGCGGGACTGCGGCTCGGGCCCGGGAGAGGAGCGGAAGGGCGGCTCCGGACCAGCACCCCCACCCCGCCGGGCCCCGCGGCCGCTGTCCCGGGTGCTGAAGCCTCCGAGCCCCGGGGACCTCGCGCCTCTCCCTGCCCAGACCCGGCACTGACCGGACACGGACCCCAAAGCTGCCCGGGGCGCAGCGCAGGACGCGGGGCAGGGGCAGGGGCAGCGGGTGGCAGGGGAGCGTGTCGGGGCAAGAGCGGCTCTTGCATTTTCAAGAGGGAGGGGCCCGCGACCTGCACGGTGACCCCAACACGTACACGCGCGCACGCGCCCGGCCGGCGGCAGCCAGCGGGATGGAGCCGGGAAGCTTGGCCGGGGGCGCGGGGCGGGGCGGGGCGGAGGCCGCAGAGGACGGTCCCGTTGATACAGGAAAATAAAAACTCCCACCGTGAACGACATCTGGGGCGAGTTCGTGTTCTCTAAAGTCGAAGAATGAATTTTAGGAACAACGGAGGTTAAGAGCAGAATGTATTTATTGAGAGAAAGAGAGCTTCTGTCCAAGAGAGGGGCAGAAGGGGGCCCGAGTGGGTTGCCAATTACCCTGCCCCTCCCAAGGACTTTATAGAGCAAAACCCCGAGGTGAGGCGGGTCCAAGATAGGGGGGGAAATGGGAAATTACAAGGTGGGCATGAGGTGGGACAAAACTGTGGTCAGCCAATAAGATTGCAAGTGTAATTGTTCAGGTAAAACTGATTAAATTGGAAATTAAATTGGAATCAAATGAACTGAGTCACGTAGCAAGTGGGTATGAATACAGAAGAGGGGCTTTTCCTGTAGGGGGTTGGGCTAGTGACTCTTTCTGGCTTTTTGAAGGTGGTTGCTACTTATTTAGAATATCAGTCCCTGATGTTCACACCTAGGGAGGTGTGCGGGTGCATTTGTTTAGTCCTTTGTCTTGAGGTCTGGCCCACAGGTATCTTATCTTGTCTTTCATGTTGGCCCCTTGGAGGGCCTGGCCCTGTCTGACTGCCTATAATAATATTTCTAACTCCGCTGCCTATAACACCATTGTTAGATAGAAATATTAGAGGCAGTCAGACAGGGCCAGGCCCTCCAAGGGCCAATATGGAAAACAAGATGCCTTGCGAATGGAATGGAGACGTATTTGCTGCAGGCCGGACCTAAGACAAAAGACTAAACAAATGCACCCACACACCTCCCTAGGGATGGACATCAAGGACTGATATTCTAAATAGGTAGGCATCACCTTGAAAAGTCACTGACCCAACCCCTTACAGGAAGAGCCCCTGTTCTGTGTTCATGCCCGCTTGCTATGTGACTCGCTTCCCCACTTGATCCCGATTCAATCAATTTTACCTGAACAGTTCTTATAGGCTGACCTAGTTTTGTCCCACCTCATGCCCGCCTTGCGATCTCCCATTTTCCCCTATCTTGGACCCGCCTCACCTCGGGGTTTTGCTCTATAAAACTCCCTAGAAAAGACAGCGTCTTGGGCAACCCACTTGGGCCCCCTTCTGTCCCTCTCTTGGACAGAAGCTCTCTTTCCTCAATAAATATATTCTGTTCTTAACCTCCGTTGTTCCTAAAATTCATTCTCCGATTTCAGAGAACACGAACTCGTCCCCGAGACGGTCAGGTTGGGAGTTTCTTTCCCCCGTACCACCGTGCCCGCAGCGCCAGCCAGGCCTCGGCGATACAGAGACAGCAGAGAGAGCCAGGGAAAGCGGGGAATGGGCGAGTGGGAAGAAAAGAAAGAGAGAAAGCAAA